AACTAGAAGTAAACTACAAAAAACAGTCTGGAAAGACCACAAAAACATGGAGGTGAAATAACATCCATCTATCAATGAGTGGGCCAACCAGGAAAAAAAAAGAAGGAATTTCAAAATACATGGAAACAAGTGAAAATGAAAATTGAATTTTCCAAAACCTTTAAGATGCAGCCAAAGTGATTCTAAGATGGAAGTATATAGCAATACTAGCAATACAGGCCTACCTCAAGCCAGAAGAAAAATCTCAAACCACCTGACCTTACACCTAAAGCAGCTAGAAAAAGAACAACAGCTAGAAAAAGAACAACAAACAAAGCCTAAAGCCAGCAGAGGAAGAAAATAATAAAAATTAGAGCAAAAATAGGGGTGTCTGGGTGCCTGAGTTAGTTAAGCAGCCAACTCTTGATTTTGGCTCAGGTCATGTTCTCAGGGTCCTGGAGTTGAGCCCTGCTTCAGACTCCAACCTCAGCAAGGAATCTACTGGAGGATTCTCTCTCTCCCTTTTCCTTTGCCCGGTCCTCCCCACCCCCCCCACCCCCGCCTTCCATCTTTTTTTTTTTTTAATATTTATTTATTTATTTATTTATGATAGTCACAGAGAGAGAGAGAGAGAGGCAGAGACACAGGCAGAGGGAGAAGCAGGCTCCATGCACCGGGAGCCCGATGTGGGATTCGATCCCGGGTCTCCAGGATCGCGCCGTGGGCCAAAGGCTGGCGCCAAACCGCTGCACCACCCAGGGATCCCCCGCCTTCCATCTTTAAAAAATATTAGAGCAGAAATAAATTCTATATAAACTATACAAAGATAAAAATAGAACAGATCAACGGTAGCTGGTTCTTTGAAAAGATTAATAAAATTGACAAGGCTCTAGCCATAGTTATCAAAAAGAAAAGGGAAAGACCCAATTAGAATCACAAATGACACAGGAGAAATACCAATAATGCAGAAATGCAAACAATTATAAGGGAATATTATGAAAAATATATGCCAACAAATTGGACAACCTAGAAGAAATGGATAAATTTCCTAGAAACATATAAATTATGAAAACTGAAGCAGGAAGAAATTAGAGCAGACCAATAATCAGCAGACGACTTGAATCACTAATCCAAAAACTCAGAACAAACACAAGTCCAGGACCAGATGGCTTCAGAGCCAAATTCTACCAAGTGTTTAAAGAGTTAGTACACATTCTTTTCAATCCATTCCAAAATACAGAAAAGGAAGGAAAATTTCCAAATTGATGTTATGAGGCCAGCATTACCCTGATACCAAGACCAGATAAAGACACCACAAAGAGAATTACAGGCCAATATTCTACTGTAAAAATCCTTAACAAAATAGTAGCAAACTGAATCTAACAATACATTAAAGAAAATCACCACCATGATCAAATGGGACTTATTCTGGGTTACACGGGTGATTCAATATCTGTAAATCAATCAGTGTAATACATCATCTTAATTAAAGAAAGGAGAAGAATCATAATCATTTCAATAGATGTAGGAAAAGCATTTGATGAAATACAACATCCATTCATGATAAAAACCCTCCACAAAGTAGATTTAGAGGGAACATACCTCAATAATAAAGGGAATGTATGAAAAAAATCACAGATAGTATCATAAATGGGGAAAAACCAAGAGAAAAACTTCATGTCTGGTATTGTTGATGCTGGCTATTGCCTAGAATTTTAGTTAGGGCAAGCAAGCCAGAATGCTTACACTGGCTCACCAGGACTCTCTTTGTGGCCTGAGCTTCCTCACAAGAGGAGGGGCTAAATTCCAAGTAAGCAGCCTGAGATACAGAACAAGGCAGAAGCTGTGTTGCCTTTTGTAGCCTAGCCTTGGAATACACACAACATCACATTGACCGTATTTGGTTCGTTAGTAGCCAGTCACTAAGGTTAGCCCACAGTCCTTTTTTTTTTTTTTTTAATGGAGTATTTTAAAACCTATGGACACCTTTAAAGAACAAAATTTTTAGTGTAATTTACCCACCGGCCATAATTTTCATTATTCCTTCACATGAAAAATACACTCATCTCCTCCCAGTACCTCCCACAAATCTCAGTTATCATGGCATCGGGTTCAGGATGGAGTCCAAGATCTTGCCATCTTAATCAGGTGCAGTGGGGATAATGTGCCGGGGTTGTGTAGTCCCTTGAGTGCAAGTCTTCTCAATAGGAATAAAGACTTGAGAATTAAAGAGACAGTTCTCTACTACTGAAAACACAACATTCTGGTAACTTGCTAAAGACTCTTATATTCAGAAAGAAGATGGAAATCACACTAGTCCATAGCGGGTTTGAAATGCAGCCTAATGCATGCTATCAGTTCTTCAGTTAGGACTTAGTCTTAACCATGGAAATTTTTCTTCATGGCTCTTTGCTGTCTGTCCTTAAGAAATTACTTGTGTTCGCAGCTGTGTTTTCAGCCTGCTTCCTCCCTGTGGGACTTCTAAGACCCAAAGGGCTATTTTCAATCTGTGCTATCTAGGTCTCTTTTAGTCCAGACTCACAAACAGTGTTTTTGATGCTGTAATTTTCTTAACTTTTTGAGTTTTTCTGTGACTATCAATGGATTTTATGTCAGTAGAAAAGCCACTCTCCCAGGTCTTTTTGAGATAAACTTTTCACCTGAGGTCTCCTGTGAAGCTCATACTCTTAAGATCCTTAAAGAAATTTGAGGCATACCTTAAGTCCTTCTGAGGTCTTAACAAAACATTTTATAGTCTTGGCTTCATCCGTAGGCCATGTTTTCCTGTATTTGTTCTTGACCCAGAATCCATTTCTTTATTTTAGCATTATTTGACAATTCAGCATATGGAAAGGCTATAAATGTGGAAAAAATATTTGAACCCAGTTAGTCCTGGTTCTTTCATACTGAATAGACCTTCTTTAGTTTATCTTTCATATCAATTTTACTTTCAAGTGGTTTGTGGCACGAGTTACTTTTCCTCTAGTGTCATTTTCTTCACTTACCTAGAACCCTTGCTGTCAGCCTCTTCAAGGGCCATCAGGTTTCCACTAACAGTCTCTTGGAAGCTCTTTTGGTTTTCATTCTTACTTTTCTCTACATCCTTTCAGGTTCCACCTACCTCTTGGTTCAAAGGAGGTTTAGGTTTAAATTTTTTTAATGGCAGCACCCTATTTTTAATATCAGTTATCTGTGCCAGTTGTTTATTGCTGCATAATAGACCACCTCAAAACCTAGTTGCTCAAAACAGCATTTATTTGGTTCACAAGTGTTTAGTTTAGGCAAAGCTGAATAAGGCCAACTCATTTCTTCTTCATTTAGTATCACCTGAGATGATTGGAAGCTGGGGACTAGAATCATCTAAAACCATGTTCATACAAATGTTTGGCTGTTGAGGCTGGCTTTTGGCTAGGATGTTCGCTGAGTCAGTCTCAGCTGAAATGTCTACATGGAGACACACCAGGTGGCCTGGGCTTCCCCACAGCAGCTAGATTCTAAGGGTTAGTTTCCCTAGAAAAAGAATGTCAATGGAAGCTATATCACATTTTTTAACCTAGTCTTAAAAATTACACAGCAGTTCTGCTGAATTCTATTCACTGGAAACCAGTTACTAAGGTCAGCACATTTTAAGGGGAGGGATTATCATGGGCAAAGTGTCAAAGAATTTATAAAACCGCCACATGCACTCACCTTGTCTTATCAATCATATCCAGAAGAAAGAAGTTCTTCCCAACTCAGCATCAGTGAAAAATCTGTCAGGTTTTTGGTTGTTTTTGTTGCTTAGTATGTTCTCTTGTTTTGTGGGAAGTAACAGAGGATTATAAGATAACACTATTCAGTTAGGTATTCTTTTTTTTTTTTTTTGTCCAAAAGCATATGATTCATCTCACTAAATTTTTATACTGAGAGGTGTGATTTCTTAACCCTGAGAATCATTTCTCCTGGGAGTGCAACTCAAATTAGTGTAAATCATTTGTAATTCAGAAAAAGGCTTGTGGCATTAGAATCAGTATTTATAGATTCAGTAATTAGAGTCTTATTTTCAAAGGCTTCTCTTAGGAAGCATTTATTTTCTCAGACCTACATAAGTCAATATGATATTACTAAAACTTCTTAAAAATTAATGGAGTATTGAGACAACCGAGTGGCTCAGTGGTTTGAATATCTGTCTTTGGTTCAGGGCATGATCCTGGGGTCTTGGGATCGAGTCCTTCACCGGGCTCCCTGTGGAGCTTGTCCATCTGCCTGTATCTCTGCCTCTCTCTCTCTCTTTCTCTATGTCTCTCATGAATAAATAAATTTTTAAAAATTATGGCATGTTAGGATGGGGGAAAGAGTAAGAGACTTTCTTTTCTTTTTTAAAATTTTATTTAAATTAAATGCCTGTATAAGAGAGTTTCTACTAAGAGGTGACTTACAGGTATTTTATGGAGGAAATATCTGAAGCAGTCATAGAAAAATAAAAGCATAAAATGAAGTACAAATGTTGTATGGCAAAGACAATGATAGCAGAAATCTATTTTAGTAACTCCTAGTGGTTTTAACTTTGTTCTTGATTTTCTAAGTTCTTCAAGGCTTCACATTTTAAGACTCTACTACAATATAGATTATATTTTATTGCAAATGAGTTTATTTTTAAAATGGGAGCACCTGGATGACTTACGCTTTAGAGCATGTGACTCTCTCTCTTTTTTTAAGATTTTATTTATTTGTTCATGGGAGGCACAGAGACACAGAGAGAGGCAGAGACACAGGCAGAGGGAGAAGCGGCCCCATGCAGGGAGCCTGATGTGGGACTCGATCACGGGTCTCCAGGATCATGCCCCAGGCTGATGGTGGCACTAAACCACTGAGCCACCAGGGCTGCCTGAGCATGTGACTCTTGATCTCGGCATTACGAATTTGAGCCTACGGTTCAGTTCAGAGACTTAAAAATAAAATGTTTAAAAATAATGTTGGTTATAGTTTTTAATTAAACTATTTTCACTCCACTTCCAAACTGTATTGTTTTATTCATGCAGATTGATGATCTTACAGCAAAACTGGAAACTGAATCTTCAAGATGTCTACACCTGGATGCAAAAAATCAAGTTCTTCAACAAGAGTTATTATCTATGAAAGCAACAGAGAGGAAATGTGAAAAACTAGAAAAGAATAAAAAGAAGTTGGAACAAAAAGTAGTAAACCTCAGAAGTCATTTAGAAGTCAATGTGGTAGAACGCAGTCAAGTAGAAAAATATAAACGGGAGATTGAAGAGAGAGCAAGATTGGTTATAGTAGAAAAATTAAAAGAAGTCAATCTATTTTTACAGGTTAATTTATTAATCTGTATGTGATATGCTTGCATTTATTTCACTACAAATTACACTTTGGTTATGTGCATTGTGTATGTTGCCTCTGCTTCCTTTACAGCAATCTGTTTGGTAGATTTCTGGAGGCATTCCTTCCTCCCTGTAAAGATTTCTGTTTTCATCATTATTCTCACTAAATTGGTCTCCTGAGAATCACTTTATTTTTAAGACCAGTTTGTATGAATCAAGACTATTAAGAGGAAAAGAAAAAAATTGTGATTTAAAACTTTTACCGTGGAGTGTCTGGGTGGCTCAGTTGGTTAAGCAGCAGACTCTTGATCTCAGCTCAGGTCTTGGTCTCATGCTTGTGAAATCAAGCCCTGCACTGGGCTCCGTATTCCATTCCTGGGTTCTTCTTCTTTTTTTAAGATTCTTTTTTTTTATTTACTTATTTATTTATTGAGCGTGAGCAGGGGGATTGGCAGAGGGAGAGAAAGAATCCTGGGCAGATTCCATACTGGGTGTGACACAGGGCTTGGCCTCAGGACCCCTGAGAACATGCTCTGAGAAGAAATCAAGAATCGGGTTATTCTTAGGTTGTATTATGCACTTTTTAAAATTCTTAATTGATTCTCTTGTTCTTTGAATTATCAGATCACACTAGTACTAATATAAGAATGATTGAACTTTATTTTTATCATTCAGATTTAATTCAGGTGACATTGATGATAAATATTTTATACTCACCTTTTTTTTTTTTTTTTCAAATTCCTCTCTGAATCATTGACTCACAACTAAAGGAAAGAAATATACTATAATTTTCCAGGTTATAGCTGTTTTAAAACTGTGCTTTTAATTTGCTTTAGACACAAGCAGCATCTCAAGAAAACTTAGAACAGTTAAGAGAAAGTAATAATGCTTCAATAAGAGGTCAACTGGAACTCAGAATTAAAGAGCTAGAATCTGAAATATCCAAAATCAAAAATTCTCAAGAAGATAAAGCAGAATTGGAAAAATACAGGCAACTCTACTTAGAAGAATCAAAAATTCGAATGTCATTGACAAATAAACTGAGCAAGTAAGTTAAAACAGAATCACAGAAAATAGATTTAGCTTATTAATTTGTCTCTAAAGCATAATTTTTATGGAGATGGGTTTATGAGATGAGTAGGAAGTGAGGAAGTGAAAACCAACTGAATAGTATAATTTTGGAAAATAATGTTTGTAAATAAACTTACCTTTATATGTTCATCCAGGACAGTTAGCCTCTCTCCTCCATTTTTTTTTTTTGGTTTTATATGACTTTATTTTTTCCCCCTTAATATTCTCAGTTAATCTGGTCTCATCATCTTTACAAACTAATTGTTTGAAGCTTTATAATTTAGACAGCATATTATTATAAAATTGTTTGTCAGAATTACCCTAAATAGAAATATTAGTGAGTTTAGTTTTGGAAGATTACATCTTTAACCCAAAAGATCAAGTGCCAATACTGCACATTCTGGCAGATTGGTAAATTAACTTTCTTGATTGTGTCTTTGGTATTATTACTAGAGACCCTTGGGGTGGGGAGGGAAACTATCCTTTGTAGCTTTTCTAATTTATATAAAGGTGTACATGTGAAATACAGAAAGATTCACATATGGGTGAAAGGCAGTATAAATCCCAAAGTGGTGATACCTGGGTGGTTCAGAGGTTGGGTGTCTGCCTTTGGCTCAGGGCATGATCCTGGTCCAGGGATCAAGTCCCGCATCAGGCTCCCTGCAGGGAGCCTGCTTCTCCTGCTGCCTGTGTCTCTGCCTCTCTCTGTGTCTCATGAATAAATAAATAAAATGTTAAAAAATAAATAAATAAAAATAAATCCCAACGTGGCTAAAAATAGCGTCATGGTGGGCATGAGGGGGCATGTGGAAGATAAAAAGGGCAGATTCTACCTCCAGGGTCTTGGTAACTGTTATCAGCTAATTGCCTCTGGAGTTGTTTCAGTCCTTTCTGATCACAGCTCTGTGATCTACCTGGCCCCTAGAGATTATTGGTCTGAGTTATTCCTCAGTGCCAAATACTCAATTTCTCTGAGGTAATGAGTGAAATGTACAAGAGTGGTGAAAGCACATCCTTGAAAATGTCTTTGAGGGATGGTTTATTTTTATGTCTCTAAACTGGTTTACTAAATATAAATATGTGTAATGGCATCCTCCAGAATCTTGTAGTTACAGCCATTCCAGAAGGTAGCAAGTATTACCTGTCAATCCGTGTACATCACGGACAGCCATTTCTTTCCCTCCCCTAATTTGAATTTCTTGTTAGTTAGGAATCCCTAGAATCATATATACTCCTTTGGAACAGTTTTAAACCTATGGTTATATATAGTAGCTCTGCTCTGTCACATTTTCAGCATTAAAACACTGTTTAATGGCACATTCTGTTTACTATTATGGAAACTTAAAAAAAATGCAGGTCATTTAGGAATGATTTGGAGAAAAATGAAACACTAAGCATTTGTGTTGTGTAATCTTCACAGGACTAGTGAGAGGCTGGCAGATATCACTACCAAATATCTGGTGGAGAAACAGCAGAACAGACCTTTCCACAGCACTCTTACTATGAGACCCGTCTTGGAACTGCCTTATGTTGGAAATCTGACTAGTAGTTTACTGCTGGATAGAAATGTTACTCCAAGAGAAAATGTAGTGGTTCCTACCTCAAGCTCGCGCCCTTCAAATAACAGCATGGATACTTACTTGACCAAGGTCAGTTATATATATTATCTTTTCTTTTCTTGAGTTTCAGATTTCCAATAAAATTTTTGTTTTTACTTTGGTGAAATTCTGAGTTAACTGAATAATGCTCAGTAAGTAAAAGTGATACTTGTTTGTGCTAATAAGGAAATAGGACAGAAATTTTATGGTATTTTTTTAGTTCCTGGAGCTCTTATTTTCAAGAGATACCAATTATTAATTTTATTCAATAAATACAACTACACTGACACATTCTATCTTATTATTTTTAAAAGATTTTATGTGTATGAGAGAGAAGAGACTGTGCTCACAGGCCAGGCAGGGAGAGAGGCAGAGAGAGGGGGAGAATCTCAAGCAGACTCCCCGCTGAGCGTGGAGCCTGACTCAGGGCTTGATCCCATGACTCCAAGATGATGATCTGAGCTGGAATCAAGAGTTGGATGCTTAACCAACTGAACCACCCAGGCACCCCCAAATGGACCCATTTTAAATTTCTTGAAATGCTATGTTAAATTGGATTTTGGAAAGTAAATATTATTACTTACTAACCAGAAGTACACTTAGATGCTTTAACTTATTTTCTGATTAGCAATAGTTTATAAGAAGTTTAAAGTTTGTTGTAACCCAGATTTTCCACTTGTGCATAAGTGAATGATTAGAATCCAAATGCTTAACCATGTAGGGATATTTATTATTTTAACAATTCCATGGTAAGTCCTTTTTATGAATTAAATAAACTTGTAACACTAAAAAGATTGATTTTTCTTTTTATGTTATATGTTTTGGGGGCACCTGTGTGACTCAGTGGTTGAGCATCTGCCTTTGACTCAGGTCGTGATCCAGGGATCCTGGGATTGAGTCCTGCATCAGGTTCCCTGTAGGGAACCTGCTTCTCTCTCTGCCTATGTCTCTGCTTCTCTCTCTGTGTTTCTCATGAATAAATAAATAAAAGCATTTTCTTACATGAGAGTACATCCTTAATTGCTTTCTTATAACACTTTTTTTTTTACTTATATTCTATTTCAATTTTTACAAAATGGCTTGTTGAGCAAATGTAGAGATTTTCTAAATAAGTCAAGCAAATATTTTATTTTATTTTATTTTATATTTTATTTCTTTTATTTTATTTTATATTTTATTTATTTTATTTTATTTTATATTTTATTTTATATTTTATTTATTTTATTTTATTTTTTTATTTTATTTTATTTTATTTATTTTATTTTATTTTATTTTATTTTATATTTTATTTTATTTTATTTTATTTATTTTATTATTTTATTTTATTTTATTTTATTTTATTTTATTTTATTTTATTTTATATTTTATTTTATTTATTTTATTTTATTTTATATTTTATTTATTTTATTTTATTTTATATTTTATTTTATATTTTATTTATTTTATTTTTTTTTATTTTATTTTATTTTATTTATTTTATTTTATTTATTTTATTTTATATTTTATTTTATTTTATTTTTTTATTTTATTTTATTTTATTTTATTTTATTTTATTTATTTTATTTTATTTTATAGAGAGAGAGAGAGAGAGAGAGAGAAAGGGAACAGGTGGTAAAGGGAAAGAGAGAAGAGAGAATCTTAGGCAGGCTCCATGCTCAGAGTGGAGCCCGGTCTCATTACCTGGGCCAAAATCAAGAGTCTGACACTTCACTGACTGAGCCACCCAGGCACCCCACAAATATTTGGATATTTAAAATGAAATTCACGTATATTTACCTTGATGCCATCACTTGAATGATTGATGACTAAGATGACAGTGATAGGGAGTCTTTAAATAGCAACTCATTTCCATGGTGTATCATTGTTATTAAAATACCCATTTCAATCAATGTACATAAGCTTATGATTTTGATAGTATATTCATAGTTTTATTAATCTAGAGAAAGGTAGCATAGGCTCATGTTAAATGAGGCCTCAGTCTTGATCTTTCATTCGGCTTCCTTGTCTTCTTGTTCTCTTCTCTTCTGATGACTTTTAGTATTATGTTTGGGTGCCTTTCTTCTTTATTGTGTATCTATTATAAATATTTGGTTTGTGATTACCATGAAGTTCATATAAAACATCCTATGTATGTATAGCAATCTCCTTTAAGGTGATGGTTACTTCAGTTCAAACAGATTTTGAAAACACTGCACTTTTACACCCTGCCTTGTTTTATATATTTGATGTCATAGTTTACACCTTTGTATTTTGTGTATCCCTTAACTAGTTACTGTAGATGTAATTGATATTATTGCTTTTGTCTTGTAACCTTCATACTATACTGGCTTTATAAAAATGATTGCTCTATTACCTTTACTCTATGTTTGCTTTTACTATAAAACTGTCTCTTATAATTTTCTTATTTCTGGTTATGGTGTTTTTTCTTTCTTTCTTTCTTTCTTTCTTTCTTTCTTTCTTTCTTTCTTTCTTTCTTTCTTTCTTTCTTCTCTCTTTTTTCTTTTTTTTTTGAGAGCAGAGTGAGTGAGAGAACACAAGTAAAGGATGGGGCAGAGGGAGAGGGAGAAGCAGACTCCCCTCTGAGCAGGGAGTCCCTTGCAGAGCTTGATCCCAGGGTCCTGGGAGACTCTTCACTCACTGAGCCACCCATGTACCCTAGCCTTTTGTTTTCTGATTAAAGGAGTCCTTTTAACATTTCTTATAAGGCCTATTTAGTGGTGATGAACTCCTTTAAGTTTTATTTGTCTGGGAAACTCTATCTTTCTTTCAGTTCTTAATAAACCTTGCCAAGAATATCCTAGGTTTTTTCCTCTTAGCACTTGGAAAATATCATGCCACAATTTCTGCTGAAAAATCAGCTGATATCCCTGATCCCTGTGGTGGTTCGCTTTTATATAACTACTTGCTTTTCTTTTTTCTCTTTTTTTCTGCTTTTAAAATTCTCCTTTTCTCTTTAATTATGTGTCTTGGTGTGATCCTCTTTGAGTTCCTTTTATTTGGGACTGTCAATGCTTCCTGGGCCTGGAGGCCTGATTTCTCCCCCAGGTTAGGGAAGTTTTTAGCTATTATTTCTTCAAATAAGTTCTTCGCCCTTTTCTCTCTTCTTTTTCTGGGACCTCTCTAATGTGAATATTATTACACTTGATGCTGTCCCAGAGGCTGCCTTATCTTAGTTCTTCAAATTCTTTTTTCTTTTTGCTTTTCAGCTTGATTTTTACTACCTTATCTTGCAGATTGCTGATCTGTTCTTCACATCTTTTAATCTGCTGTATGTCGTGTCTGGTGTATTTTTCATTTCAGTTATTGTATTCTTCTCCTCTAATTGGTTCTCTTCTATATTTTCTCTTTGTTGAAGTTCTCACTGAATCCGTCCATTCTTCCAAGTTTGCTGAGCATCTTTATGACCATTACTTTGAATTCTTTATCAGGTAGACTATTTATCTCTGTTTCATTTAGTTATTTTTGTGAGGTTTTGTCTCGTGGCCTTATTTTTTCATTTGGAACATACTCCTCTGTCTCCTCATTTTGTCTGACTTTCTCTGTTTTATTCTAAAATTGTTCTTTCCAACTTTTCCCCTCTTTAAAATACATTGCTTTCAACAATGAATGTTAGTTATAAAGCCAAGCAAGAAGAAAACTTTTTTTTTTTAGAAAACATTTTTATAAGTGTTGTGTGGACATTTTTCTCATTGGAGCTGTGGTGGGGTAGGTGGCAGATGACAGTGCTCTTCTTTTTCTGAGTTCAGAGCACAGGAGTCAGGCAAATGGAGTTAAACTTAGTAGCTTTGTTACTAATACATACTAACAGATTGGAGAATGTGGTTTGGGTGGGTATGTAGCCACAGTGGGCTTCCCAATTCTTTATCCCAAATTAGGCACTTCCCCCACAGTCATTAATGGAGGAAACAAATGTTTGATGCCCATCCCACAAAGAAGAGAGCAGACCTGAATTCATGTTACCATGCGTGAGCACATCTTTTCCAAAAAGGGATTTGGAGTCTCATAAGTACTGCTTAGTGCCTTCTCCCCAGTTCACCCATTAGGTAAATCTCCCTTCCTATTCTGAGGAAGGTAGAGATAAGTCCACTTGTGGGTAATGATGGTTTACCTGGATTTCTGACTGGATTTAAATTAAAGTTAGTCATGTCTTTTGTACATACCAACTCTCACAATGATGAGAAGTTGGACAGAGCATATTAGATGGTAAAGAGAAATCTGCTTTGTGTTTAATAATCCACAACATAGATAACTCATTTGTTGATTGATTTTGGTAAACCAAGTTTTATTTGGAGGAAATGAATAATTCTTTCAAGGAAGAATATTCTCCATTTCAGCTTCTTTGTTTCAACTAAAGATTTTCTCCTTCAGGTTCCCTGTCTTATGCTTTAAAAAATTTGTACTTATAAATGGAGTATATTAACTGTTACTAATAGGAGTTAAGATCATTTCTATGGCTTTATTTTTATTCATGACTTTAAAATTTAATTAGAAAGCTGTTTTGTGCCTCATGCCTAGACATTATTGAGCCACATGCCAAACTTTTATGTGTTCATTTACTGTCAGTTATAGTTAAAAATGAAGGTATTTTTCCTGAAGGTGATGAAGTAACTGGCATAAAACTCTAGGCCCTGGGAAGACCGAAAGCACATTCCTGGCCTGCAGCTCTGCTTTTTTGACCTGAGGCAAACTGCAATCTCTATGAGGCCCTTTTTATCTCTTACGTAAAATTAGGGACTTTGACTAAATTAGTGTCTTTGATGTCTTTGGGAAAAAAATTTTTCCAAAGAATGGAACATAATTTTTTTTTTTTGGCATTAAACTGTATTATATAAAGCAGAGACAAGTGGAGCTGTGTAGCTAAAAGAGAGATGAGACTATAGCTGTAGACTTTTTGTCCCTCAATCCTACAGTGTCCCCAATGGAACCTTAGATTTCTCTGATTGGTAGTTTGAAAACTAACTGTTATGAGAAAATCCTTCTAATTAATAAGTCTTCGAATTAAAATTTACTGGTATGTTGTTTTTATGTGTATAATTTTCTTACCCTTGATG